AAAATTGGAGACCGTTTGGTAACTCAAATTGCGGTTTGAACCTTCCAACAGCGCTTCGGGTCCTTGATTCGGACTCATTTGGGCTCGGATTGGGTCGAATTTGGTGTCGTTGGATTTGTATTTTCGAGACGCTCAGTTTGACTATAAGCTCGCTGAAATCGGAGTTCATATGCTCTAGAATTTAATTTTTGAAGTTTCCGAACTGATTTTGCCTCGAGATTCGTGCCTAATCAAGATAATTTTGTGATGACGTATCAATATTTTAATATAATTTTCTTTTCAATAAATCTAAAAGGACAATAACATAATCTAAAATGAATTTTAAAAGTATTTTTGATATAAAATAAATCTAATATAATATTTGATTAATAATTTATTTTTTTCTCATCTGAAAATAAATATAAAAATTTTCCACATATTCAAAGGGGCTATTTGGTTGTAAGTATCATGAGTGTAAATTAAAATGAATGCTGAAGTTCTAAAAATTTTGGAGTTGGACTAGATGAAAAATAAATTTAAGGCAAAGTAAATTAAATATAGTATATTCTGTTTTAGCTCTTTTTTTAGGTAAATCATTCTCACAAAGTTTTGAGCGAGAACCCTTTACAGCGCTCCAAAGCTTGTTTGACCACCTATGATTGCTAACCACCACCGCCGATCGCTAGGCACCCAGGATGCAACCTTTTTACATTTTCCTTCAAACCAAACAAAAAAGTAAAGTCATGCATTCCAGCTTTTACACTCATCCAAATAACTCCAAAATATTTCTTTTACATCACATTCTTTTTATACTGCATTCTTTTTGCATTGTATTTTATTATCAGGCAACCAAATAGCACCTAAGAAAAAAATTATTTCACGATATCCATATCTAAAATGTATCAAAATGGGCCTTAAAGATGTTTTAAGCATGACTTTAAAAATCGGATAGGACCGGCCGGTTCAACAGGTTAAACTACGAACAGTCCGCCTAACAGTTATAGTTTACTATAAAATCGGTTTCGTACAAAACTGCAATTGAATTGTTCGAACCAGCAGTTTGATTGTCAATCTCTAAACCAGTCCTGATTTTGAATAACCGCACATTTCATTTGAAAAATGATTTGAGCTATTCATACCAAATCAGATGGCCTAAAATTAACAATGATAAAGCTTATACTTATATGAAATGAAAAAAAAAAAACCTTTTCTACTTAAATTGGGAGTGGTTTGAATGGACGGCCAATGTTGAATCCCTTGATCATGGACCATTTATTGGGCATTTGATGTCTTAACGATATCGGAATTTGACGATCTTGCTCTTGTTGGATTTGTCTCGTTGAGCTAGTCGATTCGATTATAAGCATGTCACGTTTGGAAACTGTTTGGTAATCCAAATTATGGATCGAACATTCAAAACACACTTCAGCTCTTTGATTTGGCCCTATTTGAGCTCGGATTGGGTTGAATTTGGTGTCGTTGGATTTGTATTTTCGAGAAGTTCAGTTCGATTGTAAGTTTGCTAAAATCAGAGTTCAAATGATTTTCGATTTAATTTTGAAATTTCCAACTTGATATTTGCCTTGAGATTTGTGCACGATCAAGATAATTTTTTGATGATATATCAATAATTATTATTTATTATATCATCCTATTCCACTCCGGCCGAATCATCGAATTGCTAACATTTTATTCTTTTGGTTCATCGTGTGATCCAATTGTCAAAGACTTGATTTTAAGTCAGATTATATATATATACAGAATATCCTAATTTCATTACAAACTTTGAAATTTATCAGAATATTTTTTTTTCCCGTATGGTAACTCAATTTTTGTCCTATGTAACTAATTTCTTAGGTTTTGCCATTTATTTTATTAGAAAAGGAATTCATAAATTTTTAAGAATTTAAAATTGAATAATTAAATAAATAATTTATGTGACAACCTGGCCAGCTTTTCTTGTCCACAGCGTAATAGTGCCCAATCTGGGCCGCTGTTGATGGTCCCAAACGGATCAGATTGCATCATATATAATGTAAAGAGAGCATGAATCGCTTCTGTAGAACTCATTTTGCTTTTATTTAAGAAAAATACTCTATTTAATGAACATATTCACAAAAATATTTTCATGATATGAAATAAGTAAATAACAATAATTATTTAATTATAAATTACTTATATGAATTAGGTTAATAAACTCAGTAAAATTACTCGTAAATTGACAAAAAGTAACAAACAACAACAACAACAACAACAACAATAATAATAATAATAATAATAAGTTTCTATCCATTTCAATCAAAATAGATAAAAATTCATCGACATGAAAACAAAACAATTGCTTCTTAAATTAGTGTGTGGCTTCATGGACTGGTAAGGAAATATGGGTCACGAACTACCCATATTTGACTCGCTAAGAAACTCATATTTGACTCACTTCGTTATGAAAAAGAACCAAATTTAAACTCTTTTTTAATGAGTTAAATATAAATAAATTTTATTTGATTAGGTACGACTTATTAATTATTTGTGTACGTAGCTGATCACCATCGTTTCTTAGTCTGTGCGGAATTTAGTTGTGTCGGCCAATCGGGTTGTTCGTACTGTTGCATAGGACCTCAATTCAATTTCTCATGCTCACTGGAGGGTGCGGGGGTTCTCCAACTGCTTGGATTCGAGTGTGTAAAACGTCACAACGCTATGTACCCGAACATCCTGGCACTGCAAAGTTTGCTAGGGAAAAAGACTTATAAGGGAGCTCCTCAGCACTGTTAGGAGCCCCACAGTGCTGTCAGGCGGACTGGAGGTAGTGTGTTGAGAGACGTAGTGTTTCTAGGTGGACTATACGGTTTACTTTCTTATTTTTCTCTTTTGTGTAGTGTGTGAGAACAATGTAAATGAGAAGAGAAAAAATGATCGAGTGAGAGAGAAGAGAGATCTTCATTTATTTCTCTCATTTTTCATAATGAATTTCTTGATGTGGTGTGGCTCCGTGAGTTTTTTTCGATTTTAAATTTTTTTCATTTTAAATCATGATATTCTTTACTTTTAGTTGCATTTTTTTTTCTTTTTTCTTGATGTGATTTACTTTCACGTCCCTAACATCTTCAACATGCTCTAAATTCAAGAGCAATTCTTTAATAAATCATACGTTATGAAGTTCCGAGTACCAGTATCGTAATTAAGATTGTTCATCTGGACTGAATGGACTTTTGCCTGATGACTTTCGTATCTTCGTTATTTATTGTATTAGTATCTGAACGTGATTAAATTTTACAAGGTGAGCATATAAGCGGCGCACATGTATCAGATTTGATGACATCATAGGTATTGGCTTAAGGAAAAAAA